GTACATTTACACGGGATATCTAAATTGACAGCATACTAACATGCATAGAAATTTGTTCGCATGCGTGATCCACAACCAAAAAAAAAAAAACCTTAAATATTCGTTACGTTAGTAATAAATATTAGTTTAGAGAGCAAAAAGATTGTTTTACATTTCGCTTTATGGGATTCCTATTGACATTTATCTTTTGATTATTATGTGTATAATGTGAAATTTCTGTATGCTTCTGAAAATTCAAATTACTTCAAAGATCTTTTTGGTATTTGGCTCAATTTCTGATATCAACTTTCCTGAAAACCATTTCACTGACAATATTAACCAATCATATTTGCTATAGAAAAATTTGTCAGTAAAATGATTTTTGGTAAAATGCTTTCAGAACTACATTACATGTGATTAATAATATTTGTTATTGATCTATAAAATTTTTGGGAGCATCAGCAAGTTATAATATTCAATCACATGCAATGCAATAAATTAAAATTAAACTGTTATAAGTAAATATTTGTAATATGTAAATATATCATTACTGACCTTATGTTTAAATTTGTTTTTTAGCATCCAATGAATATATTTATGCATAATTCGACTCCAAAGTTAACCAATATAGGAATATATAGAATACATGGTTTTAATGGGCTTCCATTTACTCCATATAGCCCTCCTGAAGATTTAACTAAATATAGAACAAATGATAAAACAAAGTTAAATATCTATAGCCTTGGTGTTTTAATGTGGGAAATATCTAATGATGGTATTGAACCTTTTAATGGAAACTGCAGTATCGAATTAGCAATTAAAATAATTAATGGTGTTAGAGAATTTCCTATAAAAGGAACTCCTCTTAAATATATTAATCTTTATAAAAAGTGTTGGGATAATAATTCAGGTATTTTATTATGCACTATAACTTTGCCTTATAATATATATTATATATTTTTTAAATTAATTATAATGGTTGATTGTAGATAAAAGACCTAGTTGTGATCAAATCTTAAAAGAATTAGAAAATATATCCTGTGATAAAGTATATGATAGTGATCTTATGGATATTGATCTTCCTACTAATGCTAGCGAAACTGTGTTCACTAAGGGTTGTTGGTTGGATTTCAATAAACATAATATTGTTTTTAATGGAGAAAATTCACTAACCTTGGATAATCAATCACAATTAATTATTGAATTTCCAAGTCAACTCATTGATAATAATTATCAAATTTTTGGAAGTGTTGTTGTAAAGAAAAGTTTAGATAATATAAATTTTTATTGGGAAAATGTTCAAGGAGTAACAGTTACATTTGAGAATACAGATAAATATAAATGTGCGGCATTCATTCATAAAAGTGATAATATAAGGTATGTAAATTATTATATTTTTACGTATTTAATAATAAATAAATATTTATTTATTTATTTCTCTTAAAAGTTTAAATAAAGATGAAACGAAAATAGTGTGGTTTGTACTTACTAAATCAGAAACAAACTTTGTGAATAATTATAAAGACATGAAAGTTGCCTATGGAAAAATCGAAATAAATGATATTTCAACTAATATATATTTAAAGACTGAAGAAATTTATACAGATTCTGTTCTTGTAACTTCATTTGCTTCTAATACGCAAAATGACGTATTACTTTATGATATTGATGTCAAACGTTTGTCCAATATTACGATTGAATTAAAAGTAAAAAAGAATATTGAAACCGATTTTGTGAGAGATATTGACGATAAAATAATTCTCAATTGGTGTATGATTGATATAAATGGAAAGAAGTTAACGAATAATAATAAAGAAGAATATCCATGGAATCTATTTGGGATTACTTTTAGTGATGGATTTAGAAAAGATGATACTATTACAAGATATTGTGAACCGAATTGTTCATCAATAACTCGGGAAAAAGCAATTGAACTGCATTGTAAATACAATAATTCATTTGAAACTCCTTTTAAGTTATTAGACAAAGAAAAAAATCCTATAGCAATAAAATTTGCCGGATGTTACCAATGTGAAGATGCTGAATTATGTTGTAAAGTTACTGAAGAAGCAGATAATACTCAAGGAATGAAATATTATGATGAATCTGCAGATTGCGGGGATTCAACCAAAAATTTAATTTATGATTTTAGATTTTCTACAAATGAACTCAATGGAATATTCAGTTTGGGTGGTCTTTTATATTTGGATAAGAATCTTAAAAATGGAAAGGCATGGTTTATACGGATAGCTATAAGAGAATCTCTAAAGACTTATGAACCTTCAGAGACCTGTGACCCTTCAGAGACTTGTGAACCCCCAAAAACCTGGGAATCGACTTATGAACCTTTAGAGACTTGTGAACCTCCAAAAACCTGGGAATCTCTAACAATCAATGAACCTTTATCAATCAATGAACCTTTATCAATCAGAGAACCACCGGGTAGAAGAGACCTATCAAAAGTAATCAAATTTAATAACGCATGCGCATTGAAGATACCAAATTCAACTATTCCATATTCTTTCAAGGAAACTAAGTTGAATTGTGAATTCGCCTTAGTTCCTAAATCGCCTATTTCACGTGGCGATGATTTTTATTACAACAATTGCAAACATCATACTCCATCTCTTAATAATCTAGTAGATGAGATAAAAATCAATATTTTTAGATTTATATCATATCCGAAAAATTTATCATTAACATGCAAAGATTGGAACAACATTATCAATGATTCACAAGCAAGAGCAGAGTGGATTCTTTATCAATTCGGAGCTGCCCATTCACTTTTTCATGCAGTTAGACTTGGTCCAAGTTTTATAAATATTTATGTTGTTCAATCTATACTCGCTAAGGGTGGTATATTTTCTCGTTATTTTATACAACGGTTATGTATGCATTTTGGTCGTTATGATAATCAACTCATCGAGCTTAAAATAAAACATATGAGTCAAGTCGATGCGGAACGAGTTCAGCGCCTTCAAAAACAAAATGTCCCTTGGGGTAGTGATTTACCTATTCCAGTTTTTACTTATTTAGTCACAGAAGCTGCAAAACGTTTTAATGAACAGGGACTTGTCTTAAAAGGAAATGATTTAGAGCTTTTTCATTTTTACACAGCAGGCCCTCATATTATTACAAACGCCCAGAATATACTGATAAAAAATATCGATTCAATCAGAAAATTAATCGTTCAATTTAAATTTATACCATTTCCTCCACGGCCTGGCGTTAAAAAATCAGCCAATTCTCCTGAAGAATATCCTCCAAAAGATGGATTTGAAAATAGTAGACAATTAAATGTTATTGCAAGAGCAATTTTGATTCATAAAGAGTTAGTTAACATGTGGATAGAAATAGGTTATTTTAATATATGTGAAGATGTAAATGATCTTGTTTTGCAAGGAGCGATTTTAATTCTTTACCCACCTATGCCTCCTAATGAATGGGTCCGGCCAAATGTAGAAAAAGTTAATCAACGCCTCTCTGAATTTCTTGAGCTTGGTTTTAAATTGTCTTACTCGCTTATCTGTGATGTTTTCCAGTTATTTGAAAATAGATTAGAAGATGTTGGCGAAACTTTACTTTCTTCATTTTTATCTCTAAAGGAAGATACTCACGAATATTTTTTTAAGAATTGTATAATAGAGGCAATCAAGCCAGAACGTAATCTTAAAAAAACCAACTTATTAGACTTCTTATATCGTAAAATGAATGAAAATCAAGAAAAACTATTCTTAAGTGCGATGGAATTTTATGGATTAGATAATTATTTAATAGATTATGAGAAAATTCAAACATACACTTCTTCCATGAAGCCACTTATTTTATCTTCTACTTATTATCATTGGGCCCTTTTTAAATTTAAGGCCGATTCATCTGTACCATTTTTTTGCTTTAAAGATATTTTACAAACAAGAATCAGTATAGACATCGGACGTCGAAATTCAAATATGACTCATAATAGTATAACTCAATGTGAAATTGAAATAACATGCAACATTTATAACATTTATTGTAATACTGGAAATTTTTTCCTGCCTAATTATATGGAATTAATTTCTCATGCATTCGAAGCTGATATACTTGGTCCATTATTTGAAGGTTATTTACCTGAATTGTACAATTTTCCAATTATTTTCCAATTCCCGTTACCAATAATTGAAGATGGTGATGCTATTCAACCTTTACCACCAATTGTTGAAGATACTACTACCCTTAGTAAAAAACATACAAAACGGTCCTATTCCTTACAATTAATTAAAGATTGGTCTATTGTATTGGAGAGAATTAATCATGATATTATGGTTGAATCAAATAATAGAAATGTTACCGAGAATTTTAAAGTTTATTTTAAAGCATTTTTTACTTTACTTGATAAATGATAATTTTATATATAGTCACTTCACATTATATTATAATTTCATATTTTATTATTTATATATATTTTTAATTTTCTATATATGGATTTTAATTATTATAACCACTTAGATATATTTATATATGTATTTCCTTTTATGAGATGTTTAATTATTTTACAGTGTGTCTGTATTTAAGATATAATAAAGTTATTTGTTATTTATAAATATTTAAATTGACATAAAAAATAAAGGAATTAACTAATTTTCATCACAGGTGATAATCACCTATGATTATTATTGTAATTTCGTGTAACGTAGCTATAATCAGTCATAAAATATGTCACGCAGATCACGGGGTAAATTTTTTACTCATACGATAAACTTAATTTTCATAGTAAATTGCAACGGTCGCCTACTTTAAATCATTTATTTCAAGGGTTTTAAAAAGAAAATTGCACTTATGACATGCATTTTAACAGTTCTAGAAGTTAACTTCTTTATTATTTGCAAGTTTAAAATACGATACAAAATAAACCTGAGAAGAATGTGGCTTCTAAAAAACACTCATTGTTTCATATTATATAATATTGTAATAGTTTTAACAATTGTGAAATGTAAAAGTTTTTTTGGTTTTTTTGCTTATACAACTTATTATTATAGTTGGCTTTTATAATGTTTAAAATATAAAGGTTGTAATAAAATAATCTAAATTTGGTCATATGAAATATTAAATTTAAAGTATATAAAGTTTTTAGATAAGATTGATAAAAATTAAACTTTAAAAAAAAATTTTTAAAAGTTTAAAAATCAAATAATAATAATAATAATAATAACTTATTATTTTAACAACTAACAACAAAAATCCTTTGCTTATTGACTAATCTCTATTTTTTTTATTTTTATAACTAATCGAATTTATATTTGAAGCTTAGTATAGAAAGCTAGTTATATTAGAAAAGATATATTATAGTATAGTTAAGATAGATTACAAGTTATATTTTTAATTACAAGTACAAATATAGTTTTAATTTAAGATAATTATCCAAGAATTACTTCTCAGACAGTAAAAGCTTATTGTAGTAAAATCAACCAATCTATCATATTAAGATAGTTTGAACTATCATCTCATAGTTTAATAGCTGCTTTTTTGAATCAGAGGTTCAAAAAAATGAATTATATAACATCTAATAAAAAGAAAAAAACTATTGCTCACCTTTATACTTTATTTGATACACAAGAATGATCAAGTTTTATTCAAGAACCTCAGCCTTTAAATACTAATTCCTCTTCTTTTTTTTCTTCTTTTTATGATGACAATTATGCTGTTCCAAATGAAACTGAAAATATATTATCAATTGAGAAAGAGGTGGCACTTTATGATAATTTACCTCAAATTCCTAAATATCATATAACAAATAATGAATATCATAAAGTTAATCCATTAATCTGGTGGAATGAATGTAAAAGAATATTTCCTCTTCTTTCTCAACAAGCAAGAAAATACTTAGCCTTTTCAGCTACATTAGTTCCTTCAGAAAGAGTTTTTTTGACTACTGGCAATACACTTACTGATAAGAGAAATCAATTAGATCCCAACACAGTTCATGATTTATTATTTCTTAAAGAAAATTCAAAGATCTTTACTGTGTATTCAGGTTTAATTTAAATATTTAAAACTAGGCATTTTATGCCCATAGGCACAGGCACTAATGCCTGACATAGTACCCAATTTGCCCAGAATAAACACTTGCAGAACCCTACTTAAACCCATCTCTTCTTATTAATTAAAAATTTTAAATATTCTTTTAAATATTATTTTTTTTAAATACTGTATTAGTACATGAGTCATACCGTGCGTCATAAATTTTGGGGTAGTGTAAAAAGTCGCTGTGATGGTAAGATTAAAGGATCGTATATTTGAATTTATTCAAATAGAGATAAAGTTATTTGAATCAAAAAACTTTAAATATATTTTTTTATACATAAGATTCGTAAATATTTTATATAGCTAATAGAATAAAGAGAAACAAAGTATAAAATCTTAACTTTTTGTAGCAAGTATAACCGTATTTAATATCTTTTTGGCGTGGTTTTTTAGAACATGACAGAGATTTCAAAGATTCTAGTTGTTTTAATCAAATCTTAACGAAGCTATATAAAATAAAGTACTTTTCAACATACTGTACATCTCTTTAATAAGCCTTTACGTTTAGCATCATTAACGTTAACATGAAAATTTTTAATTTTATGATCATGTGACCTTAGCCATATTAGTCAGCCGATTACATTATATCAGCTGGCTTAGCCGGCTAAACCGGCTTAGCCGCAGCTGCCTTAGCCGGCTTAAAACACCAATATCGATATACACAGTGTATAAATAGCAATCGTCTTTTAAAAAAATATAATTTATAAATATATATTTTTTTAACCAATCAAAAAACAAGTCTGAAAGATGACTGACAGATCAGCCGCTACTACGTTGATATGATCTAAGCCAATCAGCTTTCATTATTAATGCTTTCGGCCATGTCGAAATTCTAGTTTTTACGGCATGTATAATCGTTATTGTATCTTTTAGGAAGCTCATGTATTAAGAAACTTGAAGCTTTCGCACCGTCTTATATTTTCAACGATATAAACAATGCAACCATAAGTACTTTTGAAAAGGGATTGAGTAGTTTAGTGATTAGATAGTTTTAAGATAGATCTCATAATACAACAACTAATGGGTATTTTAGATAAACGTGAAATAACTCGTATTTAAGGTATTCATTAATTATTTTGTAGCAACATTATAAATTTCACTTATGAAATTGATTAATAAACAATTGTTAAAAGTTAATAAACGATAACACTGTACGTTCTGGTCTATTAATATACTGTTAAATATAATGTTAATATAATGTTTAATATAATGTTAAGTGTAATGTTAAATATGTAATGTTAAATATATCGATATAGCTATCTTAAATATATTATCGTAAATTAATAATCTTAAATATATAAATATATAAGGCCATACAAAGTTAATTAATTGTTTCTCATAACATGTTAATTTAAAAATGACCCGCCGGCTTTTAATTTTTTAATTATAAAAATTTTATATGTTTATTATCCAGAAAATATTAAAAAACATATAATTTTTTTTTTTTTTTTTTTTTTTTTTTTTTTTTTTTTTTTTTTTTTTTTTTTTTTTTAATTTTTAAAAAAATCCACCCGGAAGTATTCATATATCAATAACATAAAATTTTTTCTCGAAAATTTACAAAAGCTGACCCGACCTGGTTATGAGAAACAACTAATTAACTTTATACGGCCTAATCTTAAATATGTTTTTTTTTTTTTAAATCAGTGCCACCAGACAAATGAAACCTGCATATCATCCTTTACGTAAAAACATAGTGTATTTCACTTAGCTCCGGACTAATAACGTTGTTGTTTTTTTTTACAAACCTTTTGGCAAATAACGTTGTTAAATATAATGTTTAAAATAATGTTGCTAAACATGATATTAAATATAATGTTAAAAGTATAATGTTCATGAGGTACGAATAAAAAATAATTTAATTAATACGAATATTGTCGACCAAAGTAAGAATTCTTTTGAACACAGATATCGCCACTTCGACACTTTTCACATAACGCCCTATCGTGAAGGGGAGCATCCTTTGACCCTATTATAGGTTGCCAACACAAAATTGACGCGTTTTTCCAGCATTCATGACATTGCATCATAAAAAAATCACGTATTTGGAAGTCTGTTTGGATTTTCTGAATGTTATGCTTCTGGATGTCTTCTTGAGTCTTTCGAAAGTTATAATTACGGATATTTGTCCGAAAGTTATCCTCTTGGTAGCCTGTCAAAGAGTTCTCTACGAACTTTTGAAGAGATATCCAAGTATAGGAGCTGTCCCATTTATGTCCTTGATTGCATATCCACCTACCAAATACTCTGTAAAACACATCACCTTTGATTTCCTTGGCTTTGGTCCATATTAAATGACAAATAATCTCACTCTGCCAGAATAATTTAAGAGAGAATGTTTAAATTTTTCATTTAAATAAACTATAAATAAGAATTATTCAATAATTTATTTACCTTTAAGATTTTTTGCGGCCCAGTATATAGCATAAAACTCATAATTAAACTCTTTTTTTCACATTCATTACATTGTTTAGTGAAAAAATCGTAGAGTTTATTAGGCTGGAAAGTTTTCGTTAAGCATGCTTTAAGTACATCTTGACTATAAATTAATTTCCATGTGTTTTGGCACTGCCACTTATTTAAAGAGTGCGAATCACTTATGCATTGCCAATTACTCTGACATTCTGGAGCATGTCCACATTTCCATTCGTTATCATTGTCCCATTTTTCTTGGCACCCGCTTATACATGGTTGCACGTGTTTGCATTGCCACCATCTGGTTTTACATTTCCATTCATCTTTACATTTTGGAGTGTTCTCCGACTTATGTGGACATTCCCATTTTTTATAACATTCCCTTAGATCGTTACATTGATGTCTGCACTTCCATTCGCTTTTAAACTGATGCTTATGTTGTTGGAACATCGCTTGTGATTTGTTTTTACAAATTTCTTCATTTGGACATGTGTGCTGGCATTTTTGTTGACATTTCCATTTCAGCTTAGGCTTCGACATGTCACATTCTTCTTTATGTTGGCAATGCCATTTATTTTGGCACTTCCATTTGTTGTAACATTCAGGTTTATGTGGGCATTTCCATTTTTCGTTAAATGGCTTATTTTGACAATCTAATTTAGTTTGACATTTCCGTGTGTGGTAACATTGCCATTCGCCTTGACAATGTGGTTCATATTCTTCGGTCCACCTGTACTTACATTCCCATAAGTCTTTACATCGTATTTGATGTCGGCATGTCCAATTTTTTCTGCAATGCCATCTACTTTGACATACTGGTTCGTGTCGACATATCCATCTTTTTTTACATTGTGCCCTGAATTCACACTCCGGTTCATGTTTGCATGTCCACTTTGATAGACAATGAAGTACAGTTTTACACTCCGGTTCGTGTGGGCACTTGTTTTTACATTCTTCTATATTTAAACATTTTACTTTATGCTTGCAGTTCCAATGCTGACAAAACCAATTACCTTCGATAATGAGATTTGGATTCTTAATTATAAAACGGACAATTTCAATAACCTAGAGCGAATGTTAAAAAATAAATTTTCTTGTACTGTACAATCATTTACATTGTATAATCACAAATGTGTGATAATATGGTGATATTATTACATTTTTAATCTATGAAAGTCTTAAATAACTTACTTGTTTTAATCTTTCTTCCATCGATAGTGCTACAAGTAAAAACGGCGAGTCAGTCGCTTGACCAAAAGTCTTCGCGTAACGTTATTAATCGTGTGGGCTTTCTTTATTCAAGACGTGGGATTTGATTTGGCGAGTATGTTTTATTTTTACTTTGTTTGTAATTTTTATTTAATAAAGGTTTTATTTAATTTTATAAGGACCTTGGAATCTTTCGGTTTTACTTTTAGTTTTTCGGCGTTAGAAAGATGATTTTCTTTATTAAATTTTCTTGTCTTTTTATATTTACATTTCGTACTAATTACATATCATGCTATCTTTCATTTACAGGTTTTATCTAAAGACGATTACACCATTACTTTCATTCACTTCCCCATTCCCACAATAAGGCTTTACTTTTGATTTATCCATTTTTGCCATTTCCATTTGATTCTTTATCATTCATGTTTCGCCACTTTACTGGTCTTCTTCCATTCGGGGCAAGTCTTATCTTTAGATTCCATTATCCGTCTTTTCAACTTACTTATTTCGGGCTTCACAAGTTCTTTAATTTTTGCTTATCCTTTTTTAGATTGGTCTTATCAAGCATTCATTTTTAACTCGATTATTTGTTTGTGAACTTTCCTCCCGCCGTGGCTTTTTTTTTTGGTGCGTGATTTTGATTACTATTGTGAGACCTGAAAAGTGGTGAATTTGGGTCCGGAACGATATACTATATAACGTGACTACGGGTCACGGGGATGGTCATTACATAAATTGCATATGCCATATATGCTATATAAGCCATAAATTCCATATAGCCATTTAAGCAATATATGGCATATATCTCATTTATGGAACATATGGATTAAATGCCATATATGAGATATTGCATACCTACGATAAAAGGCATAAATTGTATATATAATTTATATTATAAATAAAGGCCGTGTTGGGCCTATAGAGAATAACAACTCCTAAGTTCGCTTTAAAAATAAATTAAGTTCTAAGTTCTACTGCCTAACCCACACTTTTCTTAATTACTCTATCTCCTGACATTCTACTAAGTGGCATAGTAGAGTTATCTTTGCGAAGCCCATAGATTAATCCATGAGTACTTTATCTCCTCAAAGTAATAATTGACCTACTTTACTAAATTTTCGAAATTTAGATTTGGTAAAAAATAACTAATTTTTACCTAAATTTTTAGTAATATTATGCCACTTAATAGTAATGATAATGTACTTTGTAACTACTAAATTTTTAATAGTATGGGTAAATTTTAGCAATTATTTAACCTAATTAATAGAATAATTATGATAATAATATATATTTTATTAGTATTTATTATGAAAATAATAGTATTTTATTATAAAAGTAATATTATTTAATTATGAAAATAATTGTAATTTATTATGA